ATATATATATATTTTTTTTTTTAAGAAAACGTTTTATATTTTAAACGATAAGTTTTTTATCTTGTATTGTTGAGTGAATAAAAAGGTATTAAAAATAAAGACAAAATATGTATTTTAAAAAAGACAAAAGATCCTTCTATCGAGTTCACCGACCGACTTCAATGTTGACGTCACTCTTCTATGGCGACCCCATGGAGTCAGTACGTGAATGGTAAAACAATTGACAAGATTCTAAACATGTTCAGCCTTATTTATTTATTATCACATTCATTTGGTTATTCACAAGAATCACACGCAGCACAACGTGATTTTTAGGTTCAATGAATGAAATGCGTTTAAGTTTAGGTCGTCTTTTATTGATACAAATAAAATAAATGATGGTTAGCTGGGGGTGAAAATGTATTGTGATGAATCAGTGTAACCGGTGGTGTCCCACCACGTTGTGTTTAAGAATAGTGACGACGCACAGCAGGATTTCTTGTGTTGGTTGCGTTTAATCAAATCATCTCAATCACAAAACCTGACGATAACAGCAAAAACGATGTCTTCCTGTCAATTACGGCGGCACAGCGTGCCACTCCCCATGGTTTGCTGGAGGTCAAAATGTGTTGTGATGAACCAGAACAATGTACAATTTTTCGGAATCCGCAATTTTTGTTGTTTGTATTCGCGTCGAATACTGATAACTTTGCAAGCGGTGGACTGACACGTGAATCAATCAAATGGGTTATCCACAGTATTCGCTCTCGTTTATCTTTTATTTACTTACTTTTGTGTGAACTCGCAAATACCGCGAGAATTCATCATCTTGCAGGCAAGGTGAACATTGAGTGTCGGATTTCCCACCTTCCTCGAATGCATCACTTTTGGACAAATATGGCGACTACGACGCCATCTTTGGACTGCAAATTGAGACAATGTCGAGGTAAATTGGGCTAAATATAAAATGTGTACCGTCTTATTGTGCACTTGTATCGCTAACATGAGGATGTCGAAGGTCGGTGACAAGTGTTTTTGAAGGTATTTGACGAATTCGGATCATTGGAACAGTGATGAGAATACAGTCCCAAACCAGGTGGAAATGTTTGTGTCACGTTTCAGCTTGTTTATGACATTTGTGGGCGTAACAATGTGTACACTGAAAAATAAACATGTCTGCTGCTTTCTAAAGTGATTTCTTCTTCCAGAGCGTGTACACACACCTGTGCAAGGTGCACCGTTCATCGGTGGCTCAACAATTTGTGAAATTTCACAAGTGAGCTGAAGTGACGTGCACTCTCCACACTGAAACGCCAGTCCAACTAACAAGGTATGTCAACTTGTGTTTTGTGTTTAGAATGTGTGTTTTAGGGTTCATAGCAGTGTTTATTTAATAACAGCAATTATAAGTGTTCCAACTCCTGAAATTAACCTTCACATAAATCAAAAAATCTCCACATTTGAGAGGGGAACTTGCATATATCCATCCATTATCTGAAGAGCTTATATCATGAAAGTCGCAGCTGTGTGTGGATTATTAAGACAGTCAAGCGATCAAAATATTTAAACCAGTTGCACAATTGTCCATAATTAATCGCATTTTTTCCTCTATTTTTCACGAAGCTTGTAACAAATGTTTACGAGAGTAAAATTTTGGAATTATTATAAAATCAGAATATAAACGTTAACATAGATGCAAAGTCTGTTCCTAAGAGCTTTCTTTGATTCTTGAATACAATTCTTCTGTCAAATATAACCGTTGAACAAAACAATCCAAATGACTCAGCTTTACAGGCATCTTGCTTACATTCTTCTCATACAAAAAAATATCCAAACTTTTTGCTTGTATGTTCTGCCCATGAGCACTATCATCTAGTTGTGTGATTTGTGAGGCCCCCGTGGAGGAAGCTTGAGCAGGGTAATTTGCTCTAAGATGATACATCAAAGATGTACAGCGAATATTGTATTTGAAGTTGGCTTTGCAAAGTGTGCAAATGGCTTTTTATGTATATAATAGATAGACAGTGTGTCCCTAATACTGCCGTTGCAATTCAAAAATGAGGCCAAATGAGTGAGTCATTTTCCCAAATAACTCCTGTGAATGATGACTTCAGCTGTCATCGTTAGGACTTTACCGTGCGGCTAAAGTTTCCACCTTTCTCTGAGAAACTTCGGAATAAATTAAAAATCAAAGGAGGAGGCGACGTCGGGGAATTGAATAGAAGCCTCGGGAAGGCACTTCGGCGTTTTGCCGAGGACAACCTCGCGCGCTCATAATTCCATTTTTCATCAAAGTGTGTTTTAATCTGCTCTCATCTTGCCTGGGAATCCACTCACTCGTCCTTATCGTTTATTTGATTCCTTGCCGCTCTCACACGAGCAAGTCGAAAACGTCATCACCAATAGATTGCCGAGAAAATGAGAGTGCTTATTCTGCATATTTATTTGCTAATATGTGCCTGTTAAACACGTTTGTGGAACTCGGCACATTTAATTTTGCAGTCACTATGTCTTTTGGCTAGTGAAGGTGAAAGTAAATCAAATCATTAGCCTCATAAGCATAGTGTCCCAAGTTATGTTAAAACGTTTTCGAAAGCAAGTACATTGGCATTGTATTGATTTAGTAACAGTATGAAACAATCGATTTGTACTCAGTAGCAGTACCTCGGATTGCTTTTCAAGTCATTGTTTTGATATGAACTGTGGATGAACTTGTGCTTGTTTGCGGGTTTTAATGAAACCCGAATAATCTCATGAATTTATGCAACGTGGCGTTGAGGGAATAAGACAGACTGCCAAATGTCTGCGCTGATCGCTTCCTCTTATTTATCTTCTTCCTGGAGAAGCTGCCTTGAGTGACACTGTAAAGTTCTCTCGGGAGTCACACAAGTTGACTGTGCGTTTTACACTGCGACTGTCTGGCCAACGAGAAGAAAACTCTTGCAGAACAAACATTTTCACATTAATTCAAGAACATTTCATTGGTTGAGTATATTTGTTCATATTGGAGGTTATGCAGCTAGAAATGTCAAATATTACCGATATACTGGTAGATTTGCTTTTTAATCTCATGTTGCATTTTAGGTAATCTTTCCGACAGGCCTGTGCTGATTAATTTTTCATGTGTTGATCTGAAGGCAGTCAATCTTCTCACATGCTCATGAACTTCATTTGAGATGTTAAGTGTGGGGCAGGGATGATTGATTGTGTCCGTTCCAGGGATTGATTGATTGATTGATTGTGATGCTTTACCAGCGACATTGGTCGCAGTGTGAGACTGGACACACGGTGTGTGTGTGTGTGTGTGTGTGTGTGTGTGTGTGTGTGTGTGTGTGTGTGTGTGTGTGTGTTAGCCTTGGAAAAATTGTTCGAGCGGGTGAGGGGATGGCGGGGGTCTTTCAAGAATTTGTAGCCCCGTTGCACTCAGCGTGTCATATTTTTAACAAGGGCAGCCACGGTCCGTGCACGCTTCAATGGGGGTTATTGGCGGGGCTTCACACAGCACCAGTCAATCATGTCCCCGGAGTCTGCCAGCCTCTCTTCTCTCATTAGCTTCTTTGGTCGCCAGGCAACCATTACCCGGCCTTAGCCCACTAGCAGAGCGACCGCGGCTGACGCGTTGACGTCTGTCTGAGGGCTGAGGCTAATTGAGGCGCACTGGTTGAACTCTGGCTCGACTTTGCCGAGCCGTGACGACGACGAGGCGCCAACTTCAGCCGGATCTGATGCGCCTTCGAGAGTCAGTTGAAAAGTCGACCCTACAAAACTGCTTCCAGAGCAGGATGTAGTGAAAACTGACTTGTACTTGTCACGGTGAAGCAGCATTTGGCTCACTACCCGAAGTTATTTGCCAATGCTCCGTTCCAAGTACACAAATGTACATTTTTTCCTCACAGAAGTGGGTCAGCAGCCGCTGTCTTCACTCCTATATTCTGGTTCATTTTTTTGCAGCTTCACTGCATTTCTTTTAATCATTCTCATATTGTGTGTTATTTACTTATATACAAAAACACTAGCAAGAATAGTGTGAGTATTTTCATGAGGACACTTCCGTGATATTTTGCTTTATAAAAGCCTCCAGTAATGACATCTGTCACGTTGCATCACTTAAATGTTGCTCCTTTTGCATGTCACTGTCACATTGGATGTGACTCTTGCTCCACAACAACTTGTTTTGGGTCATCACATCAATTATTGAATGTATTTCAGCCGAGAAACATCATGAGCGAGCTGCCCTTTGGTTTCTTTGACTTGGATTGAAAAGCTTTGTAATGGTACCTAATGATACATAAAAAAATAAAAAATAAAATAAAATATATATAATTTTATATATATATATATTTTTTTAATATATTGCAGAGGGGATTTCACAGTACACCACAAACAGAACAATGTACCACTGCTCACGGCATGCAGGGGTGGGTTGGGGGGAAGCCACAGCGCCCTCTAGCTCCCACTCGGTACATGATATTTCCAGTGGCTCCACTTGCCTGGAAAACAATCAGTGTTGAACAGCGAGACGACGACGACACAGATTGCACACACATGTATGCAGCGTCAGACTACGTGTGCGCGCTTTAGTCCACGCCAGCACACGTCGACACGACACCTCCGCTGCGTGCGTGGATCTTCTGCAATAGTCATCATCGGCTGCCTCCTCCTCCTCCTCATCCTCTGGGGAGGTTGATTTGCTGCGCACAATGTGGAAAAAAATTTCAGTGAATACTTGAAGAGTGACGACAACTTTCCTCCCTTTTCCGACGCGGAGAGGAGGAGTTGAAACAAGGGGAGAGGGAGTGAAGGAGAGGAAGGGGGGCTTGTGGTGCGTCTAATCCGTCCAGCCCCCGCAGCCTGGAGCTGTGCAGCCCGGTCTAAACGCGAGCAATGTGGCCCGTGGAGGAGCGTCGCTCTCCGCTGTGCGACTCCATGGATGCTGCAGCTCGGTCGGGCTCCTCGCAGTGCCTTTGTGGACCGGACAACGACTGGGGCTGAATAATGTTTGTGTAACGAGGAGAGTTTTTTTTCTTTTTTTCTCTCTGTGGATCGGAGGACTGATGGAAACATTCAAGGCAGTTTTTTGGCATTCTCAGACATGTTTCTTCACTCTCCGTGTGCGAACATGTCGAAAGTGCACTGAAGTTTTTCTCTCCATGAGGACTTTTATTTTTTTTGGCTTTACTGGACTTCACTATGGGATGTTCCATCTTTGATAAAAGGAGTGTTTTAAAGCATTGAACCCCAGCATGGCACTTAACTGGGCTTACCTTCTACTCCCACTCTGGGCAGTAGGAGCAGCCTTCTCGGGGGTCCTTAACACCACTGACAGAGACGTTTTTACGGACGACTTGCTGCAGGTCCAGTTGGTCGGGGACCGAATGGCTGAGCAGCAGGTGGCGTTCTCCCACCCAGGTCTATATTTTGGCCCAGGAGACGTACAGCAAATGAGGCAAAGGTCCTCCGGCAGCCACAGTCATATATTTAAAGTCATCCGGGCGGCTGCGCTCACCATGCTGTCCAACGGTCCTTCTTTCCTTCCACCTGCCAAGCATGAGGAGTTTACAAGCAAGTGGAACGAGATTTACGGGAACAACCTACCTCCCCTGGCGCTGTACTGCCTGCTGTGCCCCGAGGACTCAGCCGCCCTGCAATTCCTCATCAAATTTATGGACAGGATGGCTGAGTACCCAAACTGGAAGGTAACCAGCGCGCCACACGACGAGGTCCCAATGGCACACTCCCTCACTGGGTTCGCCACGGCCTATGACTTTATTTATGCCTACCTGGACGTACGGCGGAGAGACGTTTACCTCAACAAGATCCGCTCGCAAACGGCGGCGCTTTATGACTTCTCCAAGTACAGGGGCTGGGGCCGGCAGTATCTCCACAATCACCAGACCACCAACGTAGTGGCCCTTCTGACCGGGGCCATCGTGGTGGGGTCTCACGACGACCCAGACTCTATGCTTTGGAAACAAGTGGCGGTTAACTACATGGAGAAAACCATGTTCCTGCTCAACCACGTGGTGGACGGCACGCTTGATGAGGGGGTGGCGTACGGGAGCTACACGGCCAAGTCCATCACGCAGTACGTCTTCTTGGCCATGCGGCACTTTAGCATCGACAACACGCTGAACAACTGGCTGAGGGCGCACTTTTGGTTCTACTACGCCACCCTCCTGCCTGGCTTCCAGAGGTCAGTGGGCATCGCAGACTCCAACTACAACTGGTTCTACGGGCCGGAGAGTCAGCTGGTGTTCCTTGACGCCTTTGTCCTGAGGAACGGCACGGGGAACTGGCTGGCTCAGCAGATCCGCAAGCATCGACCCAAGGACGGCCCCATGGGACAGTCGTTGGCTCAGCGCTGGGCCACGCTGCACACGGAGTACATCTGGTATGATGCGCGCCTGGCCTCGCAGCCTCCCCCCGGCTTTGGCAAAGCCAGCATGCACATTTTCTCCAACTGGGGCGTCGTGACCTATGGTGCCGGGCTGCCCAGCGGCCAGGGAAACACTTTTGTTTCCTTCAAGTCCGGCAAGCTGGGTGGCCGCGCAGTTTACGACATAGTCCATGAGAAACCGTACTCGTGGGTGCACGGTTGGAATAGTTTTAACCCGGGTCACGAGCACCCAGACCAGAATTCTTTTACCTTTGCTCCTAACGGGCAAGTGTTTGTGTCAGAAGCACTTTATGGACCAAAGTTGAGCTACCTTAACAACGTGCTGGTCTTCGGTCCCTCACCTACGAGTCAGTGTAATGCTCCATGGGAGGGTCAGCTAGGCGAGTGCGTCAAGTGGCTGCGCTGGAACGATGAGGGGGTTGGCGACACCAGCGGCGAGGTGATTGTGGCATCGTCGCACGGGGACACCATGTTCACCAGTGGGGAAGCGGTGTCTGCGTACTCCCCCGCCATGAGGCTGCAGAGCGTGTACAGAGCTCTGGTCTTGCTCAATTCCCAAACGCTTCTGGTGCTCGATCATGTGGAGAAAGCGGCTGACTCGCCTGTGAGGTTGCTCAGCGCTTTCTTCCACAACTTGGACATCGACTTTAAATACGTTCCGTTCAGGTTCATGGACCGCTACAACGGCGCCATGATGGATGTGTGGGACGCGCACTATAAAATGTTTTGGTTTGACAGCAAGGGGCATAGTCCCGAAACCCACATACAAGAGGCGGAACAGGCGGCCGAGTTTAAAAAGCGGTGGACACAATATGTTAATGTAACTTTCCCGATAGCAGATGCTGTTAGCAGGACAGCTTATGTGTTCCATGGGCCGTATGTCAAAGTGTCCAGCTGTAAATTTATCGATAGCAGCAAAAATGGCGTGAGACTCTCGTTGATGATAAATAACACAGAGACGATAGTGTCCATAGCGACAAATTACAAAGACATTGGGGCGAGGGAGGCATATTTAGGGTACGGTGGCCACTGTAAGGTGGAAGACCGATATCAAATCACTCGATTCGGGTCGGGGACGCAGGTGGTCCCCAAAAAGACTAGCAGTGACAATCAACTCTTTGACTTGGTCTTCACGCTCAACGTGATGGCAGGTGTGATTCTCTGCGCTGCCGCCGCTTTCCTTGTCATGTTGAGGAAGTTTTACGACGTGTGCTTCAGGCTGCGGCGGCTAATGCCCTATGCTCTGCTCACTGTCCTCTTCCTGTGGATAGCCGGCCTGCTCTTTGTGTCCAACAGCTGTGATCGGCTCCTTTGCGGGGTAAAGTGGAAAAGCGAATCTGACTTGCTAGGCCGGCTGCATGAACAGCGCCAGCTCCCCCTGCCCACCATCCTCATTGCGACCCTGCCCGGCTCGGGGGCGGAGATCCTCAAGCACCTTTTCTACAATAGCTCGGACTTTGTTTATATCAGGGTGCCCACCGAGCACTTGGACATCCCAGAGACAGAGTTTGAGTTTGACTCTCTAGTGGATGCTTGTGAGTGGTCCTGGTCTGAGGCCAAGCAGGGACGCTTCAAGATGATCCAGGGCTGGCTCCACTCACTGGTCTACAACACCAAGCTGCACCTGCAGAACATTCAGCTAGCAGAAGAAAACTGGGCCCGACTGCCCGCACGCAGCGCCTCCAGTCCGGACTCAAAGAAACGGTCCAGGCGGAGGGAGCCGTCCGCGGAACTGAAAGGCAAGCTACGAGCCAGCATGGACAGAGATGTGGAGTACGTCCGGGAGCTGAGGCGCCACATGGCTGAGTACCCAAACAGCCGTGTGGTTCTGAACATGCGAAGTGGGAGCTGGGCGCTGAAGCTCCCTTTCATCCGGGAGGTTGTGGGGCCTTCCCTAAAAAGCCTCTATGTGGTGAGAGACCCTCGAGCATGGATTTATCTCATGTTGTACAACAGTGAGCCCAGCCTGTACTCCCTGAAGAACATCCCTCAGCACCTTTCCTTGATATTCAAGGAGGACGCCATGAAGGATGGCTGCCCGAGCGTAGCGCCCGAGTTCAACACTCTCAGAGGACTGATTGCCCGTAAGGAGAGTGACCCGGTCTTAATACTGTCCCACCTGTGGCTCGCCCACACAGCTGCTGTGGTGCGGGTGAGCCAGAGCCTCCCAGAGGACTCCTACCTCCAAGTGCGCTTTGAGGACGTTGTCAACTCCCCACAGGAGACAGCGGAGGGGATCCACACCTTCCTGGGACTGCCGTTGTCTCCCGCCGCCCTCAATCAGCTGGCGTTCACGACATCCACCAACCTGTACAGTCTGCAGTACGAGGGTGACATCTCGCCGGCCAACATCGCCACGTGGCAACAGAAAATGCCGCGGCGGGATGTGAGGTTGGTGGAGGACATCTGCGGGGGTTTGATGAAGAGGCTGGGCTACGGCCGCTTGCCCAGCTAACTCTGCACTGCTGTCATTGTTTGCACTGATTTTCAACTCGACATGTTACACATTGAGCAATCAACGGGTGTTTACTCGGAAATTGGTGCATTTTATATTAAAATGGATATGATAAAACTCATTATTCACACGTAATGAATGACGTGTGTCTTAAAAGTCGATCGAAGATCATTGTTTCTGTGAGTCTTAAGAAAGGACCAATTCTGAGTCCTCAATTTGTGATGTCAGCATCTGTTTTTATGCTGCTGAAGGGATGTACTGTTACGGAACATGTACAGTATGTGATGAAGCTATTTATTGATTCTTTTTGGTTATTATCTTTTGTCAAGGGTACGGTTTGCGTTGCAGGAGATCCTCAGGTGTTTGAAAGAAAAAAAAAAGCAACAGGTCACATCAACTGAATCTGTCAGACATCATCTTCAAATTCATCAGGTGTCAGGAAAAAGGTCTTTTGCATTATCCCCCCAAAAAAGAAAAATCTGTCAAGTGTATGGAATTATATTATCAACCATATGGTTAAAAAAATAATAAACAATGCCATCAGGCCACCCTTTAACAAATTATACTTGGGGTGGTGCAGACACTGTGGTCTTTGGTTTGTAATGGAGTTGAATTCCTCACTTGAACATTGCCCTAAGCCTTGTCACATGCACATCCAAAGTAAACAACAAATGCATTCATCACCAGCAGGTAAACCCGCACCCATTCATGTGGCGTTTTGTCAGTCGTCAGGAAACCTGGGCAGCTGTCGAGACCTGTTTCTTTGTCACATCTGACACCTGCGGATGCCTGAAAATTTAGAGATCTCATTTGTCTCATTGATCAAGTGCTGCTTCCCTTTAAAAGTAGGTTTCGTGGCTCGTATTTTGCGTGGGATTTATTTGAAGATGTGGTGATGTTTTGCGCACTTTTTACTCTTTTTGGGGCACTATTCATGTACAGTACATACCCCCATCAAGTGTTTGTGGGTTCCAAAGATGTGTGTCACCCATAGGGAGGGGGTGTGGATATGATTAGTATTCAACCTCCCCCGGCGTTTATTGAATTAGATCAGAGGAAAGTGTTAAATGGGGGGATCAGGAAAAAAAAAAAAGAGAGTGAGTCTCTGTCAGCAGTGACACATTTCCAGTCAAAGCAATTTTCCAGAGCATCCCGCTTTGAGTCGGCAGCTCGTATTAATCTGCAAAATGTCACAAACGAGGTGTCACAGAGGCAAGCAGTTTCCATTTTTCTGCCTCGGTCAATCAGATGTCTAATGATGTCAGAGGAGGGCGGGGAGGGGCACTTGTGTCACTGTGGCTGTGCCAGTCTCATCGGTTCCAACATGTTTGTGCACTCTTGCGGCGGGTGCGGCCTTCAAGTCCGAGGGTTTTTTTTTTCAGAGGGAAAGGAAAATAAAGAAATAAATCATGAATAAGTGTCTCTTTGGTTTGTTTAAGCATCATTCTTCATTAGCTGCATGTGGTTTTTTTTTTTTTGTCTTTCAAAGCATAGAAGAGAGTCTGGAGACAGTTCATTCGGCACCCGTGTGCAGAAAGTGCTTCTGCTGTTTTGGGTTGGCTCAAAACATAAGATGTGGTGAGTTTTTTTTTGGGGGGGGGGGTGGATTCAGATGTCATCTTGGATGTTATTCCTGTAGATCAGTTATATAGATTCATGTTGAACTGAACTGCCTCAGAAAAAAAATTATAAACATATACATCTGTATGTGCTTTGGGTCAATAAAGTTTGGGAAACTTTGCTGTAGTCTGTGCAGGTGTACCTAATGAAGTGGCCAGCGGGCTCGTTTTTCCTGGAGGTGGGTGTTTAAATTTACACTTGGTGCCTCACAATGAGCCAGTGGAAGAATGTAAGCAAAAGTAATGATAAATAATTCAGAATCCGAAAAAAATATGGAACAATTCAAACTCAAAAACTCAGGGCACTAACATTGTGTTATAAGAAAACAGAAAAAGCCTAAAAAATGAAAACAAAACAGAATGTAGTGATCTGGCTCAATGTTAAAATGGCAGTAATTTAAGCAGATGCATTCTGTTTTTCTCTTTATGAAAGGCAGACTAAAGTTAACCAAGGGAACATTTGGGAAAGTCCATCCACGATGCTGCTGGTTGAAAGCACCTCGGGCAAATATTTCATCTGACTCAGCTCAACTTGTTTCCACAAGTTGCACCACTTTTTTTTTTGTTTTTTTTCCCCCCCAAATTTCCTCATGTGGGAGTATCTTCACAGTAGCTCAGAATACTCTTCTCTAACCTCCACACTCTCCTAAAAATGTTCACGATTTACACAGATGACCTGAGCTATTTTATTTTCCATGCATACACGCATTTATTTCTTAATTTTCGACTTCAAATTATGAACTTCATTTCTTTTCCAAAATGTATTTCGAGCCTCTCTGACACTAATAAATGGATAGAAATTAATATTTCAGAGAAAAGGAGGAAGTACTTTTCATGTTTTAGACCACTTGTTTGTTGTTGGGGGAGATAAAAACGTCGTACCAGTTAGTGTCATGTCTTATTTATGAATGATCGTTCATTTGCAGTTCTGCAGATGTGATTTGACACCGCTGCCTTTGTCGTGGTGAATAGATTAGCCGCCAGTAGATATGACGCTTTGTCAATTTGAAGCCGCCGCCTAGTTAATTTGGGTGCCAATGAAAAGGCAGGTGGGTGCTGCCTAATGAGACCCGGCCCGCCTCGCTTTGCTGAATATCAAAACAAAATTTTAACCCGAAATCAAAGTGAGACTCTCTTAATGCTCGCCGGCATGGCTCAGTCGCCTCCACTTGACCTTTGACTAGGTCACACCCCACCTAAAGTGTAGACTGAACAATCACAGTGCCGTGTAAACACAGATATCTTCCTTTTAGTTACTTACGCATTTTCGGATTTTGATATGTTTAACTGCTGTCCACCAATTCAGTTCAATCTGTCAATAAGACATGCAAACCTTTTAAGGCTACATGGTCGTCCAAGCAAAACTCAACAGCTCCTGTGCCAGCCCCAGGACAATGTTTTTTTCTGTAAATCTGTCGTGAAAGCATAAGCAATGTGGTTATCAGCATAATCACTTCGTCCCCCCCAAAAACAAAACAAAACAAAACCATTTACTTTTTAAATTGTTGTTTGCAGTCATTTTAATCCCTAAAAAGATAACTGGCAAAACTTTGTCTGCTCCAAATTAAGCAACGATTAATTAAAAAAAAAAAAAAAAAACAATTGCTACACCCTTCTTAGCTTGTGAATGGCTAAATATAATAAGCCAAAATTAAACACTCCATTGTCAACTCCCACGTACTATCCTGTATTGTTCATAAAATAATGCTCTGCTGTTGTTGGTTTAGTGGTAACATCTTCTAACACAAGGCCCGGTTACTATACGTTGTGCTAGCAAGCTAAGCTAACAAGCTGAGCTAGCAAGCTGAGCGACCACATGAAGCTACAGCATTAAGGTTAGCTCGTTGCGTTTTGCTTTTGAGTGATTATAATAAGCAGCGCGACGGTTGAGCGATGAGCACATCTGCCAGTTCAGATGTTCCAAGTTTGGATCTGAGCTGTTGCCTTCCTGATGGCTCATATCTTGACAAAGTCATTAGTCGGGTCATTTGCATTTCAAGGCTCCGCTGGATTGTGATACACTGATTTAAGTTGGACTTATTACCATTTCGTGGAGGAGAGTTTAATTATTCTCCCTGTCACTGTACGCCACTATCATAGATATATGAACAAAGATGACATCACTTGTAAGTGAATAAATAATTATGATACAGTAAATGGAGAGCAAGCCGCCAATTGAATTAGATTCTGAGAAGTTGGGACGGAGAAAAAATTGAACAGGGTTTATGTTATCTGTAAGATTGAATCCAGCTGTGGCCTGTGCTGGCAGACAAGGCGAGCAGCGGGAGCGGCCCTCTCTTTTTCTGTGCACAATGCATCCCATTCTTAAGGCCAGGCTAGCCACAGCGCAAACTCAAGTGTTTTAATCGTAATAATTTCAATTCATAGTTTGTTGTGTTAAAGATCCGATGAACAAAGATGCCACCTGGACGTGTCCGAGGTTTCTGGTTTCACAGACATACCGCGCTTAGCCTAATTACAAGCGGTGCCTGGTCCATGACTAATTAGTGCAACTTGAGTAGGACAACGCTTATCTAATATTAGTCACAGTGCAGGATTACAACACAACAATAACAGCTCCCAGACAAGAATTTCATGCACCAAAAGTATTCTTGCTGTTTGTGTTTTTTAATCAGCACAAGATACAGACATGGGCACTTTACCCCTATTCTTGATGCCGTGGAAAAGCTTTGTGGTTGACTTCCCCTTTTAATATAGATATCATTTTAATCTGCCTGGCCAAACCAGCAGCCATGCAAACTTTTCATCAGGAAAAAGTTGCGCCCTCCATAAAATGTGGCTTCAAGTGTGAAGTTGCAACCCCTCCGCCATCTTTGACGGACGGGTCTTATTGAGTCACAAGCCGACGGTGTTACCTTAACAACGGCGTCGAGCGCTGACAAATGGGATGGTCCCTCCGGCCAGGCTGCCTCATTAAATGTCCACGCAAGCGCGACGGGGCTGCAAGGGTGATGCATTATTGATGAGACGGTGTGATTAATTGAAAATATCTTCCTCCGCAGAAGCGGCAGGGGTGTCTTCGTGCGTGCGTGTGCACGCGCTTGACGTTTAAGTGGCTCGGCTTTTGCGGGGAACAACTTAATCGTTTTTCTTCATTGTTATTCCGCGCACACCAATGCCGCCTGATTGACTGTATGCGCAATCCCATTGTGAACATTATTCTTTTGAGGGCAGCTCTGCTGAGACTGATTCAATGCAATTGTGACAATGCCAGCTACTGTTAAACAATGACACGAAGTGAAGTCCAAGAAAAGTGTCAAGATCAGCTTTACACCAACGGTGCGTTCGATTGCTCCTGTTGGACTCTGTCAATTCTACTTTTGATGTGGTTCATGAACACATGGGCTGATGAACAGAAGCACCAGCTTCATTGAACTGATGCACGGAAGAAACATCATCAGTGAGTCCATCAGTGAATACATAGATGAATAGAGGGGTGATCGATGGTTGGAAGGAAATAAATTGAGAGAACGATGGTCAGTTGTGAAATGAATGATAGATCCTTGGATGTGTGGTAGTGTGACAATTGATTTTTGGATAGGCAGATTTGTTGAAGGGTGCATGGATGATGGCCAGTCATGAAGGCTCGGATGATGGTTGTTCATTAGATGATGATAGTTCCACTTAGGGCTGGGCGATGATTCAATATCAACATGTATTGCGATAGACACGTAATCGATATCAATAGGAAAGGCCTTTGAAAAAATGTTTGATAGATGTGGCATTTCTTTCAACCTTGACCACTTTTTGACTTTTTCATAGTTGCGCTAAAGATTTGATACTATATGTTAAAATAAAATGAGCTAAATTCAGCCCCCCTG